TTCATAAAATTACTTTTTAGACTTATGTTGAGCGGCATTTAAATCTTACCTTTTGACTATGCCCATGCATTTCCATATTTCCCATCCACCAGGTAATCTTTGCCGGTGGTCTTGAGCCAATCGCTTGACATTCAATTTCGTACTTGCGATCCGCAGACATTGGTTGATTATTGAAAGAAATTTCCACCAACAAAGGACGCACTGAAAATTAAAGGCGAAATATAAATACATACAGCGTTGATGACATAGAATATTACTGTTTTTACAGATACATTTATACATGTGTATTAAAATAAAAATACACTTTTTCCCAAAACTTCAACTATTATTTAGATTTTTCCCATTCTACCAAACTTCTTGGTATTCAGATGATCATTTTTCGGTAATTTTGTCTCTTTGAATGTATAAAACATACATATTGCTACACAAAGGTGAAATGGTGCCACGTCTATTTTTTCAAAATTTAGTTTTTGAAGCAGAATGGCACGTAATACAAAACTACATAGATTTTTTGTCGCTCCTGAACAATTTCAAAAAATAGACTTGGCACCTTTTCACCCTTAGGTAACGATATGTATACTATATGATTAAAACTGATAGACTGGACTTAATGTCGGAACACAGAAAATATTGAAAACGTAATAAATTGTTTTGGATTTAAGGTTATATTTTTTAGTTTTTTTTTATATTTATAATACAGTAATTTATAACAAAAAAAAAAACAGTATAAAAATACATAAATTATGCACATGTTACGAAGCCTTCAGCCGCCTTGTAATTATGGGAATGTACAATCTCTTCGTCTATGTCCTATGTGTTAGTGCAGACCCTGCAGCAAATCAAACTGTTTCGTATCTCGTGCCGAATAATCTTGAAAAGAGAAGTTACTGGTTCTTCATCAATCCCAAATTAATGCTAAACTTTGGCGACAGCGCAACCAGCACAGTTCTGAAAGCACGGAACTAGTGCTTCGCCAGTTCTTCTGCAGCGGATGTAAGTATCTAGGATAAAAATTTCCGGTCAAAAAATCGTCGGTAACGTGCAGAATAGGCCTGCCTTAGGCTAGTGTGTCTAACCCTAAATCGGTTACATAACTTCATAGCGCTTGTTGGTAATGTTGACGGGTAAATTATCCGATTTCTGTCTGGGCTTATGTCATTGGAATGATGTTTTTATGTCTTCCATTCGCTTGTGTTTTTAAGTGCATAATAAACCTCAAAATATCTCCCTTGTTCTAACTACATTTTTCGCTGCATAGTGGTTTGAAACCTCTGGTTTTGATCACGAATTCAGCGATTTGGGCGCAGTTTTCTGCTTTTTGTGATGAAAGAGGAAACTTTTACTAAGACGGCACTGGGGAAAAAACTTGGCTGGCGATAAGTGGTTGGTTGAGAAAAAAAAAATCTAGTGGGGCTGCCAAAAATTTCGAGAAAAGAGAAATATGAAAAGCGCATTAGAGAAAATTTTCTTGAAACAAAATCCACCAGTTGTCACATAGATGTTCCAGTCAGCCAATATATGGTCATGAAATTGGGGAAGGATTCAGCAAAGAAATCATCATCATCAAAAATACTGAGCTTTATGAATAAAAACTTAGCAATTGTTTTTTCTTAAAATTTCAGACCTTTTACTTAAATTTCTTTGAATAAAACGAGTAATAACTATGTGTGAAATTATAAGAAAAAACAATTGTTAGTTTTAATTCATAAGGCCCACTACTTAGGTGAACGCTAATTGATTTAAACCTTAGTTTATAAAATTTCGATTCTTGTTTTATAAAAAATTGTATTTTTTAATCAATTGAATTCTTTTACCAACTTCTTGTATACCTAAGAAAATAATTCCAAACGCGTTGTATGCGCTAAACATTAGATTTTACTTTCATAAAAAAAAATTACTGTACCTTAAAGCTTTTTACCAAAAAAAAATTAACCAAGTTTAAAAAACTATAATACAAATGAACTGAAAAGCAAAAAAATAAAATTTTCACACTAAAGTATCAAATCAAGGATTATCCAATTATAATTTTTTTTGCTTTGCAGTTCATTTGTATTATATATTTTTAAACTTGGTTATTTTTTTTTTT